CTATTTGCTATATGTGGGTTAGCAGCATGTCAATTATTGGCCAAGTGTCTACCACTCAAATAGTTCTGTGCTTCCTATCAGAAAAACAGCAGAAAGAGAATAGAACTCTTAAATTTTTTTATTAAAAAAAATAGTAGTAATAGTCTAAAAACTCTTCTACAAAGTTCTTAGAGTTTTGGGGACAAATTCCTAGCTTGTCTTTACAACCTTTTAAATCTCCCATACTAAAGGGAACATGGACTCTCATGGCATTTTCTCAAAACCATAAATGCCTGAATATAAGGTGTCTGTTGCTATTTGCTCTGTTGCAGGCAAAATAAAACAAGCTGTGTTTTAGTGTTGCAATTTAAACTTCTAATTATTTCTAAACTTCTGAATTATTTCCTCAGGTGTTTAATTTCAAACTTTGAACTTTTTAATTTTTATACAAGCTGATGCTGAAGTTCATCCTAGAACCATTCTGGAAAACAGAGGATTCATAGAAGGACCCAGGACTGAGCCCTGATGTCTCAGTGGCCGTTCTCTCCCATGGGCCTCCGCCCACCTGTGCCTGTTCCTGGAGGCGTCCCTTCACCATAATGAATACGGCACTCCTGCCTAGGAAAGGCCGCTTAGTTTCCTGGCTTCTGAAAGTCCAACTTTCTGGATTTCACAGGCAGTTGATTTAACGGCACCCGACTTCTCTGACACATCCTCCTATAATCCTTGTTCCTTACACCTACTCCGGGTATTAAGTTGCTTCTTTTCTTATCTGCTTCCAAATTCCTAGGCCACATTATTTATGCAGCTGCTAAAAGACTGGTTTGTATGTTTAGCTCTGGCATTCCAGACTACCACAGGTAAACAGGCTAGCCAGCCTTATGACTGCCAAACACAGTCTATTTTAATTTATTCTGTTTTTACCAATTTAGAAATTTCATTCTTTAGAAATTCTTTAGTGTAGCTTCTAATCTATTTAAGTTTTTGCCTTTCATCTCTTAATAGGCCTGTTGGGCATGAGCTTATTTCTTGCCTTCTTCATGCTCCAAATTTATAGTTTTTTAAAATTAGCTTTATTCTTTTATCTGTTGCCTCCCTTATCCTACTGAAATTGTCAGAGTCCATGAGCCCAAAACTATTGCCACGTTAAATTTAAGATGAAAAAGAGAAAAAATTTAAACTTGGAAGTTTTCTCTGCTCTGCACCTAGCCTGAGAATTCGGGACTGGTGAAAAGTTCTCTGAGAGAAAGGAGAACAAACAAAAACCTTTCTGAGTTTGTCCTCCCTCAAAACCAATAAAGGCACATGTAGGCTTCTGTTTTGAGCATCTTCACTTTTCTGTCATCCTTTCTGCCTATAGCAGTTCCCTACACCACAAATAGTGGCTGCTGCTTTAGGAAGGGCCTGAAGTAAGCCTGCAAAGGGAGTGAGTACTAAAACATGATTTTCTTTCTTCCCTCCCCCCGCCCTTTTCCTCTTATTGCCTATCTGTGCATGATTGGGGTGAGATCAGAGTGTGAAGAGTTAGTAGCCACAACTACCTGCTAAAATCTATAGTTCAACTCCAAACTGACCAGTATCAGCAGAGAAAAGAGAGAAAAAAAAAACCACCAAAATACCCAACAAAGCTCTGCAGACAAGCCTCTATATCACTGCACCACAAATCTGCGCCAGGTAGAGGAGAAACACTCACTAGCCACCAACAAACTTTACCCACATTAACTAACGTTATTAACAAAATTAAAGGTTTACTTACAGTCATGCCGAATGCTTCATGCAGGAAATGTGGGAGAATGTAAAAAGAAACAGAGGGAGAGGCAAGAAAGTAGGAGGATTAAGTCTTTCAAGAAGTAAAGGAAGCAAAATTTAAAGATCATGGCTCTTTGAACCCCAACGTGTTCTAAGTTGGGCTTGATGTGCAGCTTGGGTGACTCATGTTTCGGTTTTCAGTTCAGAGAACTGGGTACAGATGGAAGTTCCTGTCTACTATTTCCCAATGAGTCTTACCAGGAGTCGCCCCGGTGCCCCAGAATTCACAGCCACACAGAGGAATTGGACACTCTGATTGAGCCCAGAGGGAAGAATGTTAGGTGTCTGCTGCCATCTCTGGGGCGGAGAAACCCCTCCGTGAGGCTAGAGCATTAGTACAGTCCTCCGGTTGGCACACTCACCGATGGGACCCCTAGAAGGAACAGGTGAGGCAGTCTCCTTATCTCATAGGAGGCTGGCTACCTGATCTCCTGCTGAGACTTTTGGCAGATACAGAATCCCATAATCAATCTATTGGGGAAATAGGGTTCAAAGGGCCAGGCTTTGGAAGCATAGAGGCATGAAAACTCACCAGTAGAAGAATCCTCAGTGGTCAGGAGTCCTCAAATTCTATCCCGAACGATAAGCCCCCAAAATGTCAAGGGGATGATTTCCAAAAGAGGTCCGGAGCCTCTCTGGGTAAGAACTAGAAAGTTCTGACTCGGAAATACAAGAAAGACACCAATACCAAGTGAGAGCAAGAGAAAGAAACTGAAGTTTGTTAGACTTTCATAACAGACTATGAATGGGTCAGGACAGGCCGACCTGGACACCAGGTTTTAACACAAGGAAATTGATCTGGGTGCCTTAGCTCCCCAGTAACTACACTCCAAATGCATCAGACCAATTCACAGTCTGTCTTTCAAACAGACACCGTCTGTCTATGTCAAATGTTGGCCATTCTACCCGGTAGAGGGTTTTCAACCTCCTGGGGCTCATTTTAGTTCCTTAGTGCTAGGTGTATGTCCCCTAGAAATTTTTCAACATCAGAGCTAAAATAGTGGGTTTCCTCTGACTCCCTCCCATTCGAACTATTTCCATGCGTGGTGTCACAAAAACTCGGACAAAGGGTAGGAGACGCAGAATCCTGAGGCCACACTCCCAGAGGAATTTTAAGGTATTTCTTAGCTAAGGTGTTTAAAGCCCTAGCCAGGTCAATCTCCCCGGAGGAAATTGAATCACTGTTACCAAATGCCATCACCAAGCAACCACACGTCAAGACCTACTCAGACAGTCATTCCCCACTCATTCAGAGGTAATTACAATCCCTCCTATAAAACGCCTTCCAGAGCCAACTGTTTTCTTGTACAATACTGGTGGGCATTGATCAGATGCCCTTTTTGCCTTCCACTTAGGTGAACTACCTTCCTGTGAATCAGTCAACAGTCTCCTCAGTGTTCCCTTGGAGCTGTAGATGCTGGCTGGTTCCTCTGGGAGAGCACTAGCCGGGTGGCCCCACGAACGACCCAGTGACTGATGCCTGCTGTGAAAGTCACCCAGCAGAGGCGCAACTTCTCCTGCCGTCTCCAGCCTCACCGCACCGGCCAAAAGCCAAGGCTGACAGTAAGGCCGAAGCTCCAGCTAAGTCCTCAACTCAGGCTCCTGCTCCAAGCCAGGCTCCTGCAAAGGCTCTATAATTGAGTTCTCCATCTGAGGACAGAAGGACTGGTGTGACCCCCTGGGCTGTTGCCATCTACATGGGCCTGGTGTCCTCCTGTGTTATTTGTACAAATAAATCCTTAAGGCAGGAAAAAAAAAAAAAAAAAAAGAAATGTTGCAGGAATTCGACTTCCTGTCCAGCGACTCTAGGTGAAGGAACAGCACTAAAAACTCTTTTGATGAAGCAAAGAAGACTTTATTGTCCCCAGGGACAGCTGCCAGAGACCACATCCTCTCAAGGGTCAGGCTTCTCAAACACAAAAATGTTCTCTCTCTCTCTCTCTCTCTATATATATATATATAGGCTTATAAGGTAGTGAGTGGTTGAAGTCTCTTTTCTGTTGACTAGTTTTTACATCAGGATGGATGGTGAAGAGATTGTTAACAGTGTTAGTTTGCCTGGCTCCACAGTCAACACTCTTGGCATCAGCAGCCAGGAAATTAAAAGGCGTATTGTAGTTGGAAAGTCTACTGTTAGGGACCTCTCCAGAGTACTGAAGAGCAATAGTGTCTCTCTGGAGACTAAGGTGTGCCTGATACAGGCCATGGTCTTTGCAATCACTTGCTATTCATTTGAGAGCTGGACAATGACTAGGGAGGATAGAAAGAGAACTGATGCCTTTGAGCTGTGGTACTGGAGAAGAGTATTGAATATACCATGGACTGCTAAGAAAACAAACAGGTTTGTCCTGGAGAGAGTTAAACCAGACAAGGATTCTGAAGCTCTGTCTAACATACTTTGGACATGTTGCAAGGAGGGACCAGTTCTTGGAGGACATCATGCTTGGGAGGGTGAGGGACAGCGCAAGAAGGAAAAACCCTCAATGAGATGGACTCACTTAGTGGCTGGAGTAATGGGGGTAGGTGTGTCAGAGATAGTGAGGCTGGCTCAGGATAGAGCAGGGTTCAGACCTGTTGTACACAGGGTTGCTACGCGTCGCTGGTGACTCGATGGCACATAACAAGAAGTGTCTTCTTGGACCTGAGCCTGCTTCATTTCCCCACCCTGCTGTAGGTTAAGGCAGATAAGAGACCTTGCTTGGGACATCTCCTTACCTGCTTTTATTGCTGGTCAGAGTGAGGGAAGGAGAAGGGACTTTGTCAGCAGGGGTGGGCCTCCACTGGGACACAGAGTGGTGCCCTGGGCACACCACCATTCCATGCGGGCAAACCAGAGTTTGCTGCTAAATATGTGAGATGCTCAGCTCCAAAGTCAAGAATAAGCATTAAACCTGGGGAAGCTGAGGCTAGTGAGGATGGCAGGGGGACAGGATGCCCACACCTGGGTCCACGCCAAAGCCCTGTATTCTCCCAGGCGCCAGAGCAATGCCCTTCTCATTCTAACAGACACATCAGAGTTTGTTCATCAATTTATTGCTTTGCTAGAAAATAGTACCTTGACCTCCAATTCAGCATGGTGGTGGAGACAGCTCCTCTCCTCGACCTGACCTTACCAGCAGGCCTGGTACCTCCTTGACAAACTTCAGGCCCCAGGAACCTGCCCTGGGCTGGAGTTTGGGGATAATGGTGACCTGGGGTTGGGGGTGAATCTGTCACCGGGAACCAGTCATCCTGTGGGGATAATATTTGAGGAAGAGTTTCTTGACCAAGTCCACAGTGTCACCTTGTGGTTGGCTGGGGTATCTCTTCGTGCTGAAGATGAAGGCCTTCTCCAGTTGGAAGACATCCTCATCAAACTGATGCTGCTGGAAGGGAACACCTTCAGACAGGCTCTTGGCCAACATCGCGATGAACAGCTGCCAGCGGGGGGTGTAGTAATCAGCCACCAGTCCTGCCAACTGCTTGTTGGCATAGTCTAGGATATTGCCCTCTGGTCCCCAAAGGGTCAGCTGGTAGCGGCTATTCAGCTCAAAAAAGTGGGCCTCGGCCTCACTGACTGCTGCCTCTCTGGCCTGCTCCAGCCAGCTGCCCAGCAGGAAGCGCCGGTCACTGGCCAGCACCTCATCCAGGGCAGGCAGCAGCTCATAGGCCAGGATTCCCCCAGCCCTGAGCACGTAAATCAGCTCCTTCTTGAGAAATGCAGTCCTCATCTCCTCATAGTACAAGCTGACCAGCTCCTGGACTGCCTGGCGAGTGACATCTAGAAGGTCGTAGCGGAAAGCCGGGCTGTTGGCCAGGGTGGGGGTGGTTGTTAGAAGCAGCCGCCAGGCCTCAAATACGTCTGATCGGTTATACCAGACTGTGGTGTTCATCCGCAGGGACGGCCTCTTGACCAGAGGGCTGCGATTGTGCCCACTGCAGGCTTTACCAGAGCAGTTGTAGACACTCCTGAGCAGGAGCCTCCAGGCTGCCTCTGCATTACGGTGAGAGCCTCCATACCGCTGGCTGGCAAAACTGGCCACCCAGGCCCCCAAATCTGGTATGGGGTCCTTCCGCCAGCCCAGCTCAGCCATGAGAGCGTAGACCACTTCGTTCTGGCCAATGCCCTCAGGGGCCATACCTGTGCCCACAATGGTGGAGTTGGGGAAGAGGCGGGCATCCGTGGGACCTTGGTTCACAGACTCCACAGTCCCGAACAGGCCGTGGTTGCCCCCAAAGTTATGCAGCATACACCAGATGAAGGGCTGGCCTTGGAAGGAGGCTGTGCGAAGGTACACTGGCTGGATCTCAGCAAAAAGGTCAAGAACCAGGAGGCGGCCAGAGGGCACAGCCCCCAGAACAGCCCCTATCTGGGCAGGCCCCCAGAACTCGGGCTGGTGCTGGAAGAGCCATCCCTGGAGCAACCACACTGCGGCAGGGTCCACTGTGGGAAGGGCAGAGAATTCAGGCAGTGAGGGGCCAGAGGGCCAGCAGGCGTTCTCACCATTCTTCAGATAAGATAAATGGTTCTTTCTGTCACAAGATACCCTGGGATCCGGAATTTCATTTCAAAGAATCTAGCCTTTGTCCTTGGTGCCTAGGAGATAATGTCTTAAAAAGCCTTGAGAATGGATGTATCTGCAGTAAGGATTTTAGACAACATCTAACAGGTTATGGTGATAAGTGGTCATCAGCAGCTGGGACTGGCCTTACAGAATGAGCCCCATCCAAGCTCTGGACTCAGATTGGTGGGCTTCCTGGTTGATGAGGGACAGACGAGAAGGCAGTGAAGCCCTTCTCAGCAAAAGGGAGTGCTCAGCTGGGAGCCCTCCTGGTCCTGCCCTATTCTCCTCTCCATCTGTATCTGTTTTTGCTAAGATAGAGCTGCACATCAAAACACAGCCCTATCTGTGAGTTGTTCCCGGCATTGGGCATTAATAAACCCAAAGCCCGCAGGTCACAGTGAGCGGTTCTGGGTGATGATGCCCGAGCTTGTTTCTGGCATCTTGAAGGGGTAAATGGGCCAAGCCCTGATTTGCAACCAGCAGAGCAGAAGTCAAGCTTGTGGTTGTCATCTGCCTGTGAGTGTGAAGTCAGGTGTCCTGTTGGCATGTGGAGTGGCTAGCTAGGGTCCGAGAAAGAAAAATGATGCCTGGGCTGCTGATGTCAGAAGCAAGCAGAAACATGAATGTAGGGGCTTCTGTTTACTCACACTCCTCTCCACCCCCACCGGCAGGTCTGCCCCTCACATGCACCTCCCCCACCCTCCCCACCCCTTAGCTGGGAGTGCCAGGATTTTGCTGTTGTTGGGTGCAGCCAAGTTAATTTTGACCCAGAAAATCGGTGACAGAGTAAAACTGCCCCGCAGCGTTTTCCAGGGTGTCATTTTCGCAGGCTGCACAGTGTGTACCATATCAGGCTGCTCACTGAAAGCTGCAAGTTCAAATGCACCAACTGTTCCATGGGGAAACATGGGTAGTCCCCTCCCCTAAACACTGACAACCTCAAAATGTGATGGAGTGCTGCTGCAAGTCAGAATCGATGGCAATAGGGTTGTTTTTCAGTTTTGAAATCTTTACAGGAATAGATGGCCACGGTCTTTCTCTCTTGGAGCTGCTAGGTGGACTCACATCTCCAAGTTCTCGTTAGTAGAGGTCAACTGCTGCTGGACTGGGGTTCCTTTGACAGTGTTTATTAATTATTATAATTAATTAAAATGTTATTTTTCTAGAGTAGAAGAGTTACTCAGAGAGCTTGACAAAACCCTAATTCCTGAGCCCTAGGCCTGGATTCAACAAGTCTGCTGTGAGTTCTGAGGATTTGCATCTAATCTGTGCCAGGTGATGCTGCTGCTGTCAAGGTTTCTGACTGAGGCAGCCGATCTGCTTCCTGCGCAGCTGACACAGGCCACGCCACCAAGCCAGGGCTACCCTGATCTTCTCTGAGTGGCAAGGAAGAGTTCTGGGATCCTATTACCTGTGAGTTTTCAGCAGGTCCTCTAAAGTCTGACCGGAACTACGATCATGTCCCCAGGTTGAAATGAAAATGTTTTTGACAGGCAATGCTTAGTGTTTACTGTGGGTCTGGCATTTTATCTATTAGGTAGTCCCTTTTTACAGATGAAACAACTGAGGCGCTGAGAGGACAGTAATTTAGTGCCAGGGTTGGAGTCCCAAGGATACAACTCCACTGTACACACTCTCACCTGCAGCGTACTGATATGACACATTGTGTCTGTACAAGAGCTCTGGAACAGCGAGGTGTCATTCTCAGTCCCCCTTGAACTCCGCCACCCTTCGCTCCCCCACTTCTCCCAGGGCTGTACCTGTGATCATGGCCTCATAGACAGCAGAGGTGGCTGCAGCAAGGTAGGAGGGCTCCGAGGAGGGAGGCTGCATCTCGTTGAATGTGTCAGCTCCGTAGATGTGGTCTGTGCCAAACTCTTTAATCAGCTCCCTTAGGAAGAGGTTCCCAATGACAGGGAACATGGGGTCCTTCGCAGCCAAGAGGAAGGAACAGGAGTAGGAGCAGTTGAAGTGTCCCCAGCTGCCCATCTGGATGACACTGACCCGAGGGAATACCCTAGAAAAGGGTGACAGTCCAGATGTTTACTGGACGCCGATGTGATCCACATCCTTGGCCTAGGCTCTCACCGGGCCAGCTAACTGACTGAGCTGTGTGGATCCTGGGCTCTATCTTGGCCTCAGGTCTCCATGTCTTTGGACACAGTGCTGTGCCCTGTGCCTGGAGGCCTTTCCTCCTCACTCCCTGCCTATCTACCCGGTTACTACTTATAACCAGGTACTTATGTTGTACCTATTTTGCTATCTGGCCTAAATAAGCAAACCGCCTGTTTCCAGACCTGGCTCAGCCCTGCCCTGCTCTGTGCCCTTCCAACCCTCTTCCCCAGGATGAATGGTCTTGGAAGAGGGAATGCCAAGGATGGGCCTTCTTCAGTGCCTACCCTGATCACTGTACTGTAAACCCCTTCTCATTGTTCCCCAGAACCCAGGACAGTGCCGGGTCTAGCAGACCCAGACAGTGTGATGAATATTCACTGAACAAATGAGACCCCTGCAGCCCAGCAGGGAGGCAGAGCACGGCAGGGGGTGCCAGCAGTCATGCCAAGCACTGTGCAAACAGTAGGAACAAGGCCTAGAGGAAGTGGTAACCAGTGCTGGGCACTGGGAATGTTTCCTTAAAGAGGAAATCTCACCTGAGCCTCTTTGTGTGTCAAAGATTTATCACTTACAAAGTCTTCACTAGACAGTCATTAACTATTTATTTCGTGCCGAAGTAGTCACTGTATTAAGGAGAAAGGATTACGATGGGATACAAGCCCCGCCTGACTAAAGGCTTTTATAAGCTCATGGGACCTCAGTGCTACTCTCTGCTGCTCTTTCGGGATGTTCACTTCCTGTACCACAGCATCCAGGAACAACCTGGTCCGTTACTCATCAGACTGCAACACCGGCCTGCATCACCCACAGTCACCATCTAGCTGCGCCATAACTGACACTAGAAGATCCTGGCCCACTGCTCACCAGTTTCTGCAAAACCAGCCTGCATAATACCTACAATCACTTTAAGTCCTTCCCCTGATGGGTCTGAGTCTCTGGGAGACCTTCCAGTGAACACAAGGGACATAGAAGAACCAGGGACCTGAACAAAGGAGGAGCTGTTAATGCCAGAAATCATGGATTTATCCAGAAGGTCAAGCATTTGGGACAGTATTGGCTTGACACTTCTTGTAAAACTGGTTTGCTACTAATCTTAGCTGAAAGAATTATAAAAACAGTTGGTGTCAGAAGTAGGATATGAGTTGACCACAATCCAAATAGACCAATCAAACACTGGGTCTCCAATTTAGTCTTGGGAATAGGTAGTTACAGCACCTGGTTCCTGGTTGCCTGGGAATGGCACAGGTGCTGCTTGACCTGATTATTCCCAAGAATTTTACTGTTTGGGCAGGACAGTGGGTTTTTGCTAGATTTATCAACCAGCCTCTGCTGGTCATGAGGGCAACCACTGTTTTCAAATTATCCCTAGCCTATTCTTCAGTGTTTGGATATCTTGACCAAGTCCAAGTCTCTTCTAACCAGGTTATGGCAGTAGGCTGGCAAATTCAGGTAACCTTGTGGTGAGACTGGAAAGGTAATCCTCCCATGTGAAAGCAAACTACGACTGTCTTTTTTCAGAAACTGGAATGGAGGAAAAAACATTTTTGAGATCTATCACTGAGTACCCGTCTCCTTTGGTTTCCGTACTGTTGATACCAAGTCTGGGACCACTGAAGGCAGAGGTGGTACCACTTGATTTAGTCCTCGACAGTCTACAGTTAACTTCCATGAGTCATCTGCCTTTCTCACAGGCCATACAGGGCTACTAAATAGATAATTTGCGGCACCAACACTCCAGCCTTTAGCACATCTTTAATCGAGGCAGTTATCTCCTTTTGTCCACCAGGAATCCTAAATCGCTTCAAATGAACAACCTGAGTGGGCTCAGGAATATTAATGGTTCCCATTTAACATGTCCTATCAACACTGGCTTCAGGACAGACTTAGAAGCTCTCAGTTTATAATATTCGGTAGAGAGAGTATTCCCCAATTAGACATAATATACACCAATAATACATTCAGGTAAAGGAGATGCAATTACTTCATACATCTTTTTATATTTTCTAATTCTCATCCAGACTTTCACTCAAGTCCCATTAACTGCTGCATTCTCTTATCCTCCAAATTCTTCTTAAGGTCCCTGTAAGATTTTATTAATAGGATTGGGAATGAAAGTATATCGGGCTCCTGTGTCCAGAAGCCCAAAGAATGTTTCTTTTCTACTCTCGGGCCATTTTACCCACACATGTGCAGACAGCCTCAGGTCCCCTGCTAGGGGAGAACCAGAGAGCCCAGCCTTCTTGTCAGTCCATATCTTGATCAACTAGCTGACCTTCTGCTTCAAGTGATTTTTTTGTTTTTCCATAAAAATGTAACAGATGTCTTTATAATTGTTATATAGTTGAAATGCTGAAACTTGTTCACAGAAACTTTTTCTGACTTGCAATAATGTGGGGTGTTTTTTTTTTTGTGATCAGATTTTTTTCTTTAATCAATGATGTTGCATTTTTTACATGATAGGGCATTATGGTTATCACAGGAATCCAGGATTAAGGTTGCATAGTGGAGAGCATTCAGGGCAGGGGTGGGGCGATTGTATAACAATGAAGAAGCCTATCCTCTGCTTTTCAAAGAGAGGAGCGAACTGGAGGGGCCCAGAGAAAAAAGTGCAACAATGAATGAATGGAAATCCAAAATCTCTGCAAATGTTCATTAAAATCAATAAAGTTTTTTAAGAAAAATGATGCTGCATTTTATGCTGCTCTCCCTTTAAAGCTAATGAGTATTCCATATCCAAACACTGGATAAATACATGTTTTTCCAAACTTAATTTCCATTCACCTTTCTCAGTATAACTTGCAATAATGTTTTAATGTCTCCACATTTATATTAAAATTTACACATGAATGAAAATGGAAAAACTGCCAAAACCTGATTTCTGCCCCCTATTTTTCCATTCATTATTCATTATCATATACTTAGGTATCTTTTGATGCTATGGGAAAAAATCTAATGTTCAAGAACTACCAATGATAGAAAAAGAGATTTAAAAAAAAAAGAAAAAAGAATGAAATATTTCCCATTCTAGTAGGTTCTTAAACATGTTCTCCATGTATGTGGCGTGCTACTTAGATGTCTTTGGGGATAACTGTTACATGTTTGGCATGGATAGCACACAGGTTGGTGTCTTCAGAAAGGCCAACCAGATAGGCCTCACTTGCCTCCGGTAAAGTACCTATAACTGATCTCTGAAAGCACAGATCTGTTTTGAAGTCTTGAGCAATTTCTCACACCAAACGCTAGAAGGGAAGTTTTTAAATGAGAAGTTCAGTGGACTTCTGATAACATGTAATTTCACAGAGTGTCCCAGTACCAGGCATATAACGATGCACTTCACCCCTCCAGTTGAGGGTGCACTCCTGGGAGTGGCTTTTGTTGCCAGCTGCTTCCTGGGTGCTTTCCCCCTGGCTGATGTGTAAGCAGTCTGTTTTGTATAAGCCATGATGTAAAGACTTCTTCACTTAATCCCTGTTCCTTGGCTGGAGCTTGGTGATGCTGGCTTCATAGTAAAAGCCTGCTTCAAGTGATTCTGAGTGGGTTCCCGCATGATGAATTACCTCATGAGTAGGATGAATAGGAAGGACTTGTTTAGGTCTTCCTGAGGTTGGAGGAACAGAAAGAGCCATCACTGGTCCACCCAACCTCTGTAGTGCTGCTTTAGCACCTCTCTGCAACTCCATCAACGTCTGCTATATTCATCCCATTCCTATGTCACCATCTAAAAATCTCCACCCTGCTAGGTTAGATCTTTCCTCCACAGTCTCCTCCAGTTTGCCTACAAATCACCCTGATGCTCCTTGTGTCCTTCAAGCCCATAAGGGGAAGTCTTTTCAATAGAGTGGACACAGCTTCTTCACCTGTTGCCTGGTTCTACATGAGGTGCCTATGTCGGAGCTCCTCTGATTACCATCTGCCAGAGCCTCTGTAAGGAGCATATCCACGTCCTCAGTGCCAGAAAGCCATTCAACATGGCTTGTAGAACATCCACTGCTTCGTCCGGAGTGTCCCATTTGTTACTTAGACATGGAAAGAAGCAGTTGGCATTGTAAGGATAAACAAACCTAATCACTTATCTATCAAGCTAACTGTCCTCTGGGTTAATCTGTTGTGTGGACTGTATCTTGCAATATCATCTGTGGCTGTTGTACAGATGGGTCTAGCATTAACCCAAACATGCTCTTCCATTCTGCAGCATTCAGAATCACAGATGCTGCCCCTAATTTCATCATTCTTAAGATCCATTTTCGTGATGGTTCCTTAGGAAGCTGCCGGTAATGGTCTGCAAACGTATGCATTTCCTCTATGCCATATTCCCTGGTTACAATAGTTTGTTGATACCGCTCATCTGTCTCCCAGACTGTCTTCATGCCCACAGGTCAGAGAGGTATTTCCGGTTGCTCCCACATGTTTTTTTCTTTCCAGGTAAAGCCTGAGATTATGGGGCATGACTCTGTCTGGGCAGGACTTTGTTCATTCCAATTTTAGCCATTTCAGTTCCTACGTTCTTTTCCCATGCATGTGCTGCTACTACTACTGATAGCAAAAAACAAGGAAAATGCTAAGTGTCGCTCTTTTCTTATCTTCCTGTATTTCTGCATGTATCAAATGAATCAGCTTCTCAGGAGTTAGTTCCACTAGCTTCATGTCCCAAACATAAGTTTTGCCTTCAGTAACTGACTGCAACATAATAGTTGCATTAATCTATAGGTATTCCTTAACTTACCCAGAGAACAGAAGTGTCTGATTCTTTTGTTTACCCCTTTTTTCCCAAAGACACGTTACAGAGAATCTGAACCTTTGTAGCAAATCCCACTTCTGAAACCAATTGTTCTAATAACTAGTCTGCAACTAATCTTAGCCAAAAGAATTATAAAAACAGCCTCGAATAATTTTCCCAGCCAGGGGAGTAGGTGGGGTTGTCAATACAGAGAGAGGTGTGGGACAGGGAGATGGTCAATAGAGAGAGAGGTGTGGGACAGGGAGGACAGAGGATAGCAGAGTACTTTGTACTGATAATAACGACTTTTAGGAAAATATATATTGTTGTTGTCTGGTGCCATTTAGTCATCCATTTATGTGACAGAATTGAGCAGCTCCACAAGACTAGGCTTGTAAGCTTTACGGGAACAGACCACGCTTTTTCCTGAAGTGGGTGAGTTTAAATCTCCAAAACTTCTGTTAGCATCTGAGCACTTCAGGGCTGCACCCCAAGACCCCCCTAAGTGAATACATCTGTACATATAATAACAAACTCTCCCAGCAAAGCAGGTAAGGAACCTCATTTTACAAGCAAGGAAACTGAGGCCTAGAGCAATCCTGTAATCTGTCACTGTCAGACAGCTAGCTCATAGCAGTAATTAAACCCGGACCTAATCCCAGTGCTTAAGTTTGCTTTAAGTTATGCATCTCTGGGCAAAAATCATCCCTGTCTAAGCTAAATGGGAATGAGTGGGATCTCACCTGGTGATAGCCTTGGGGACGTACCCTGCAAATGCAGGCAATACTGGAATCATGCCAAACGAACGCATCCGGGCCAGAATCCGATGCTGTGGGGGAGGAGGAGGGAGCTGGTGAGCATTGGTACTGCTGCCCCCACAGCTTGGAGGCCCCTTTACCACCCAGTTCCACAGACGGTCAAGGTAAGAGCCCTGAGGCTGGCTGAAAACCACCCAACCCAGGCCCATGGCCATCCTAGCGTCTCTTCTCCCCTTTTCCTTCCCCATCCACTTACTTGCAGGTAAAGCTGCTTGATGTGCCAGGAGTGGGGCAGGGGTCCCCCCCAGCTGTGCAGGTTACCCATGCGCTCCCAGGCCAGGAAGGCGGGGCCAGCGAAGTACTCATCGATCTCTGACTGATTCAGGCCCAAGGCCAGGTACACCTGGGGAAGAGTGAGACCCACACCTAGCAATACGTTCATCCCCACTCAGCAAGTCATTCATTCGCGGAACACACATGCACTCATCTCTGCTGCATGCTAGGGCTGCAAAAACTCTCAGTGCCGTCAAGTCCGAGCTGACTCATGACTGACTATCCAGCGGGTGTTTGAGAGGCTGTAAATCACAAGAGCAGACTGCCCATCTGTTTCTTGTTGAGCTACTGGTGGATTTGAACTGCCAGGGAGGTGCCTCCTCTGGCTTAACAGTGCAACTCCCTGTGGATCAAGCCCCCAAAGCTCCCTAGAATGACAAAGATGTATAGAAACAATCCTGTCTGCAGTTCAGGAGAGAGATCCGAGAAAACCTGCGTTCATCTGTCACACAGGTGAGGTGGTGGGTCACGAAGGGGGATCTCCTTTAACGGGAACGGGGACATCAGAAGGCTTCATGGAGCAAGGCTGACTAGATTTATGGGGGACAGTGGCTCCCTGGGGAGTTTACACAGTCCCTGGCACAGCCAGAGCCCAAGGAGGACTTGAAGGCCAAGACCACAGAGGCTGCTCAGTGACCAGCCAGGGTAAAGTCCGAAAGTAAAGGGGAAGTACCATGTGAGGGTTCCCAGAAGGCCACACAGCCTGCCGCGAAAAGGCAGCCTTGTGAAAGCAGAGCTGTCAGGAGTCTGTTCAGGGTTGTTACAGGACACCGGGGAGAGAGGGGCTGAGAGCCGGAACTGAGGCAGTGAATAAGGCTGATGAGGAAGAGGTAGACCCAGAGCTGCTCAGGTGAGAGAATCTACAGGATCAGGTGACAAGGTGTGAGGTGTTGGGGGCCTCAACTTCACAAATTGTACATAGTAGGAGGCGGGGGTCTAGTGCCCAGTAAGCACTCAACACATTTTGTCTCCGGAGTAGAAGCTGTGTCCAGAGGCGCTGTTGTGTACCCTCAAGTGTTTCTGACATTGGCCCTGGACAGGTGGGACATATGCGGTAGAGCTTGTTGGCTGCAGGATGGACAAGTGCAATGGGCAGGAGAGTGGAGGGACCAGGGGGGCACGAACCCGCTGCCAGATGGCCTCTTGGCCATTCCAGGCCAGCGCCAGGTTGATGCCATTCAGCGCCATCCAGTCGATCTCTTGCTCCCAGCGGGCCCAGTCCCACCACACGAAGGAATAGCTGTGTGTGCACACATTCTGGTAATAGCGGTACCTGAGGGCAAGGGCATGAGTTGGAGTGTGTCTCCCTGAAGCCAGAAGGCTCTTCCCCCACCCCAGAAGGTCCTGGAAGAGCTCAGTAAAAGGCCTACTTCTCTCAAGAACAAACCCTGGCCCCTACCTGGCCTAGCTGGGGTGGCCCTCCATTGCGTCTCTCTGCACTCTACCCCAGGTGGACTCCTGCGTGGAACCGAGGTGCCTGCCCTCCTGCCTAGCACTCTTCCAGAGCCACGGAGCACCTTTTACTTTGACTAGACTCTGCTAGAACCCCTCTTCTGCGCCGTAACCCAAACCCACCCCAACCCATTGCTGACAGACAGGTCAATTCCAACTCCTAGTGAGAGCCACAGGACCGGGTGGAACGGCCCCTTCGGATTTCCAAGGTGGCAAATCTTTCCCAGCAGATAGTCTCATCTTGCGAGGGGGTGGTGGGTTCTAACCACTAAGCTTGGTTACCAGTCAAGTGCTTAACCACAGTGCCACTGCAGGCCCCTCACAGTGATCAACATCACCGGGCTATGGAACTGACTGGGAGTAGGAGTTCCTCTCACACTGTCTGGTGGGTAGATGGGGCGTGACCCCATCACCTCCGCACAGGATGACAAAGGCTAGAATAGTGTGGCCTGTGAGGTGATGGTGGGGTTCCCCAGCCAATATCGTCACAGGGCAGGCGGGGAAAGAAGGGAATCAAAGGCATTGATCACCAACAGTGCGCCCAAAATATAAACTCCACCGTCCTGTCCTGCAAGTCCTCACGAACAACACGGCCGTGATGGATTCCATTTCTCAGATGAGACAACTGAGGCTACGAGAGGCCAAGCGGAGGAGGCAGAGCTGGGAGCTGAAGCCCGTTGCTGGGCACTGAAATCTCACGCTTTTCTCTGGCAGTCGGTAATGACCAGCCTGGCGCCAAAGCCGGACAGAGACTTCAGCAAGAGGCTTGGCGCGGGGGACTGGAAGCAGGAGGCAGCCGGCGCCCCGAGGAGCGGGCTCGCTCGCACCCAGTACCTGTTGGGCGTGGCCTCGACCAACTCCTCGGGCACTGAGGGCAGCGGCCGGGGCAGGTGCAGCTGGGAGCCTGACCAGGCCACGTGGCAGCCGCAGAAGTCGCGCAGGTAGCGGTGCAGCCCCGCAGCGGCCGCCACGCCCGTGGAGCCCGCCACCCGCACCGGCTTCTCCGCGCCGCCGCCGCTCAGGCGGTAAGTGTCCAGGCCGGACTCGACCGCCAGGGAGCGCTGCACCGTCACCGAGAAGTCAGCCGCCGGCCCGGGTCCGAGCAGCCGGACAAGAAGGGCCCGAACGGCAGCTGCCTCCTGGGCCTCATCCCCAGCCGAGCCGTCCAACCTGACCAGGATCAAGAAGCCGAGAGCAGCGGCCACTGCGAGGGCCTCCATGTCCCTGCGGACTCGGCCTGCGGGAAGTGCAGGCAGGGACCCATTCAGGACTCGCACCGGAGGGCGGGACGGCCCGTGTCCAATCAGCGGCAGGCCTCAGACCACGTGGGGCAGAAAGGCCAGCGGCGGGGAGACCCGTTTCCGTGTCCCGCACCGCGTCCAGCCTGCCGTCTGCAAGAGCTTGGGGAGCGCGTGACCCCGGTAAGATCAAAGTAGGCTAGGTGGGACCTGCACACCTTCACAAAACGCCTACAAATATAAAGCACTTTCACCTGCAAATTACTTTCCATCCACTCAATAAATGTTTTTATCAGATACTGTTGTGGGTACTGGAAGTTGATGGGAATAGACTATCCTTCCTAGGGAGAGATTTAGAAATCAAATACATAAAATGTACTATAGGGAAATGGGGGGAGGGGAAAAATGTGCAACAATGAATTTAAAAAAGTAAAAAAATTTGCACTATAGTTGTAATGTAACCTTAATGTCAAACATCAGGGATGATTAGAAAAGTTGGAGCTAGGAGAACGAGGGGAAAAGAGGAAATGAATATATGAAACTCAGGAAAGTAAAGAGCTTGGTCAATTTGAGGAACTGAGAGATCACGAGGCTTGAGGGCTGGGCTCTGAGCCCAGCTGAGCAGGCAGGGCCTGATTGGGCCACATGAAGTGCTCTCTTCCCATCCGCAAAGACAGCAGCAAGATGGAAATCTTCATTGTATAGGCTGGGAAACTGAGGACCAGAGAAAGAAGTTAGTTGGACAGACCTGGTAGGAAAGCAGGATTGGGGCTAGAACTTGGGACTCCTAACTCTCAGATCAGATCAAGGCACCTTTCAGGCTGCCCACCTGGGCAGAGCCTCCGATGGAGCTATGTGGTGGAGGACTCTATAGAAAGACTGCTCTTCCTAAGAGAATTCTGAGACCTTCTGGAGGCAGGTATAGAGTTTTCCAGATTGTTGGATCTGAATAAAAATGCTTAGGGATAGGGAAGGGGTGAGAGGACCATGTTTAGTCCAGGGAATCCAGAGGGTAGAGAGAGAACATGGGAATCCCCTGAGCTTGCCTTACTCCTCTATCACCTGCTGACTGTTACAGACCCCAGCTGCAGCGCCCCCTACCTTGGTCCCAGCTCAGCAAGCCGTTCTTGCCAGCCTGTGACTCCTACTCCCCCTGTTCCTGGAATCCGGAGATATTTAGCCATTCCTAGGGAGCAGGTCTAAAGCCGCCCAGAAAGATAATGGGGCAATGACCTGTAGCTGTGGGTACCGCCTCCCAACCCTGGCAATTATACTCCCCCAGGTGATACTGATGTTTTATCAGCATTTCTGGATTTCAGGGAAACATAGGCACACACACACACATGCACGCTTGTGTGTGTGTCTCTTGCCTCTCCATGGGTCAGAATTCATCTGGAGAGGTGTGTGTGTGTGTGTGTGTGTGTGTCTTGCCTCTCCATGGGTCAGAATTCATCTGGAGAGGTGAGGGATTCCTGGCAGGGGCAGCCGGTTGGGGAGTGGGGAAGGAGAGCACTGGAGAAGTTAAGCTCATTTTTCATCTTCCCCATCAGGCTGGGAACTCTGTGAGGACAGTAAGGGACTGGTTGAAAGGATGAAATGTCAAACATTTTTTAAAATTATGTATTTGTATTGATTTGTATACAACAACAACAACAAAACATTTGTATTGATTTGGAATGTTGAACACAGCTTTAGTTTGCTTGGCTCCATACTCAACAGTCTTGGCACCAGCAGCCAGGAAATTAAAAGGCGCATTGCCATGGGAAAGTCTGCTGTTAGGAACCTCTCTGAAGTGCTGAAGAGCAATGGTGTCTCTCTGGAGACTAAGGTGCGTCTGATACAGGCCATGGTTTTTGCAATCACTTGTTTTGCATCAGAGAGTTGGACAATGACCAAGGAGGATAGAAGGAGAATTGATGCCTTTGAGCTGTGGTGCTGGAGAAGAGTATTGAGAGTACCATGGACTGCTAGGAAAACAGGTTCATCCTGGAAAGGGTTAAACCGGGTGGCTCCTTGGAGGCAAGGATTCTGAGGCTCCGTCTAACATACTTTGGACATGTGAGGAGAGACCGGTCCTTAGAGAGGGACATCATGCTTGGGAGGGTGGAGGGACAGCGCAGGAGAGGAAGGCCCTCTATGAGGTGGATTGATTCAGTGATTGGGATGATTGGGATGGGAGTGTTGGAGACAGTGCGATTGGCACAGGACAGGGCGGAGTTTAGGGCTGTTGTACATAGGGTCGCTATGAGTCGCAGGCGACTTGACGGCACATAACAACAACAACAAAACATTTGTATTGATTTGGAATGTTCTGCAAATTATATTGTGTTTAAAGGACAGATTAAACCAATGAGCGCACTCCCAGTTATGTGGGATTTATTTTTTCCCCTCTAGTTGGATAATGGGACTCTGGGAGTGGAAGAATCACTTGTACTGTTTTACCTTTTAGCAAGTTCAGATTATTTTCAGTTACTACGTGTGAAATAAGTTGACTGGGCTCTCCATTTCCTATCGCATCTAGTCTGTTGTTCTTGGCCAGCCTTTGTGCACACAACATACCACTAAGCTGGGCCAACCTAGGCCCTTGCTTCTCAAAGCCCAGCTGGGAAGGTCCTTTCCTGTTGTGAGGAATGGTCTTCCTGATCTTGCCAGCAGGGGGCAGCCCACACCTAGATATGACTTGAATGGGAGGCGCTGGAAGCTCTGGGACTGAGGGACTCTGGTTTGCTGTAGACTTCAGCTCAAATGGTGCCTCTAACCAGAGGGAAGGGAACTCTGGTAGCTTAGTGGTAAGGAATTACATTGCCAACCCAAAGGCAGGCGGAATCCAGCAGGAGCTCTGGGGGAGAAAGATAATAAGCAGTCTTCTGCAGTTCAATTTACAGCCTGTGAAACTGGAGTTGGTTTTCAGACAGCAAGGAGTTAAGAGTCTTGATGCAGAGGCAGAAAGATGTGCAGACAGACATACTCGGGGCCTCCAATGACAGGCAGAGGACAGAGTAAGGTTCTGAAGGGGTCAGTGAAGCTGTCCTCTCTCAGAGAATGCTGGGACTGCAGGGATTCAAGAGTCGAAACAAACCTCAAATCAAACCCATTGCCTTGGAGTTGATCCCAACTCATAGCAACCCTATAGGACTGGGCAGGAAGGCTCCACAGGGTCGCCCCGGCTGCAGTCTTTACAGCAGCAGACTGCCAGGCGCACCTCTCCAAGGGCAGCAGGTGAGTTCCAGCCACCCATCTTTTAGGTAGCAACCAAGTGCTTAACCACTGTATCACTAGGGTTCCTAGGCATAGAGATGTTGTTAGGTGCCCCTGAGTTGACACCTCAGTGACGCTACAAACAGAGCTGACCCTTCCTTATCCTCACCATCCCTGACACACTCGAGCCCATTGCTACAGTCCCTGTATCAATCCATCTTGGGGAGGGTCTTCCTCTCTTTTATTGACCTTTCCAAGCATGATGACCCTTTTCAAGGACTAAACACACCCCCAAAATATGTGAGATCAAGTTTCTTCATCCTTGCCTCCAAGAAGCACTGTGGCTGCGCTTTCTCCAAGACATGTTTGCTCTCCTGGCAATCCGTGGGGTATTCAGTCCTCTTCTCCACCACCACAGGTTAGAGGCAGTGATCCTTTCTCTGTCATCCTTATGCACTTACTTTTAGGTACAAAGATAGGCCCCTTAAAACCAGGCACCATTAGGGAGCTCTGTGGCCTAGTGGCAAGAAGCTGCACTGCAATCCCAGAGGTATGCGGTTCAAATCCACCAGATGCTCTGCTGGAGAAGGAGGGACAATAACCTCCTGTACCAGTCAGATCTGATTTGACAGTGCACACACACACACATAAAAAAAAACCCAATAAAAACAGGCGCCATGAGGGTCAGGGTTGGTTTTGTTAGGTGCCATCAAGTCAGGATTGGGCAATGTTTGCTCTGATGTACATTCATAGTCTGACTCATACTAAGAATATACATGAGAGCAAACATTGCCCAGTCCTGTGCCATCCTCAGCATCCTTGCCATCTTTGAGCTCGTTGCGGCACCACTGTGAGAAGCCATCTCATTACAGGTCTTTCTCTTTATTTGCTGATCCTCTAACTTTACCAAGAGACGTCTGTCTGTAAAGATTGATCCCTCCTAATGACACGTTCAAAGTGTGGAAGATGAAATCTTTCCAACCTCATGACTAAGGAGCATTTGGGCTGTGTTTCTTCCAAACAGATTGGTCCCTTCTTCGGGCAGTCCGTGGTATCAATATTCTCCGCCAGCACCATAATCCATCCGTTCTTCTTGTCTTCCTTATTCACAACATGAAGCCACTGAAAAGACAAAAGTCTTCGCTTTCCTTTTGAGGCAGTTTTGCCCAGTCTAATGTGTCATTTGATTTCTTAACTGCTGCTCTAATGAGCACTGAATGTGGACTCAAATGAAAAAAAAAGCCTTGACCCCTTTAATCCTTGAGCATGATATAGCTTATCCTTCCAGTTGTATGGATTTTTGTTTTCTTTATGTCAAGTTCAATTTATACAGAAGGCTGAAATCTCTACCTTCATCAGTGTGCACCACAAGTCCTCTTTGCTTTCAGCAAGCAAGGTGATCTGTGTGTTGCAGACTGTTGATAAGTCTTCCTCAGATCCTGATGCCAAGTTCTTCAGATAGTTCAGCTTCCAGACATTTAAGATTATAGCCAAAGACCCTATGGAAAACCTATTCTGGAATGCACGGGGTTGCAGTGAGTCAGATCGGCTGTGTTATGACTTTGTTTTTTGGCTACTTAACATTTGTTTTAAATAAAATTTTATTATACTGGTTTACGTACAAAGTTCATATACATTTTCACACCAAATCTTTCCCATTTCCTTTACTCACACCTTCTTCCACCCATCAAATTGTATGACCCTTTGATTAATCACCTCCCACCCCCATTCATCTTCACCCCTCTGCTCCCTCCCCTCCCCCCTTGGATCCTCATACACGTTCT